CAGTAGAGAGACAAAGGTGGGTGGGGGGGGGGTCTTCACTCATCCAGCAGTAGAGAGACAAAGGTGGGTGGGGGGGGGTCCTCACTCATCCGGCAGTAGAGAGACAAAGGTGGATGGGGGGGTGTCCTCACTCATCCAGCAGTAGAGAGACAAAGGTGGGGGGGGGGGGTCTCACTCATCCAGCAGTAGAGAGACAAAGGTGGGGGGGGGGGGGTCCTCACTCATCCAGCAGTAGAGAGACAAAGGTGGATGGGGGGGGTGTCCTCACTCATCCAGCAGTAGAGAGACAAAGGTGGGGGGGGGGGTCTTCACTCATCCAGCAGTAGAGAGACAAAGGTGGGTGGGGGGGGGTCTCACTCATCCAGCAGTAGAGAGACAAAGGTGGGTGGGGGGGGGTCCTCACTCATCCAGCAGTAGAGAGACAAAGGTGGTGGGGGGGGTCTTCACTCATCCAGCAGTAGAGAGACAAAGGTGGGTGGGGGGGTCTCACTCATCCAGCAGTAGAGAGACAAAGGTGGGTGGGGGGGGGGTCTCACTCATCCAGCAGTAGAGAGACAAAGGTGGGTGGGGGGGGGGTCCTCACTCATCCAGCAGTAGAGAGACAAAGGCGGGTGGGGGGGGTCTTCACTCATCCAGCAGTAGAGAGACAAAGGCGGGTGGGGGGGGTCTTCACTCATCCAGCAGTAGAGAGACAAAGGTGGGTGGGGGGGGGTCCTCACTCATCCAGCAGTAGAGAGACAAAGGCGGGTGGGGGGGGGTCTTCACTCATCCAGCAGTAGAGAGACAAAGGCGGGTGGGGGGGGGTCTTCACTCATCCAGCAGTAGAGAGACAAAGGTGGGTGGGGGGGGGGTCTTCACTCATCCAGCAGTAGAGAGACAAAGGTGGGTGGGGGGGGGTCCTCACTCATCCAGCAGTAGAGAGACAAAGGTGGGTGGGGGGGGTCTCACTCATCCAGCAGTAGAGAGACAAAGGTGGGGGGGGGGGGGTCCTCACTCATCCAGCAGTAGAGAGACAAAGGTGGTGGGGGGGGTCCTCACTCATCCAGCAGTAGAGAGACAAAGGTGGGTGGGGGGGGTCCTCACTCATCCAGCAGTAGAGAGACAAAGGTGGGTGGGGGGGGGTCCTCACTCATCCAGCAGTAGAGAGACAAAGGTGGGTGGGGGGGGGTCTTCACTCATCCAGCAGTAGAGAGACAAAGGTGGGTGGGGGGGGGTCCTCACTCATCCAGCAGTAGAGAGACAAAGGCGGGTGGGGGGGGTCTTCACTCATCCAGCAGTAGAGAGACAAAGGTGGGTGGGGGGGGGTCCTCACTCATCCAGCAGTAGAGAGACAAAGGCGGGTGGGGGGGGGTCTTCACTCATCCAGCAGTAGAGAGACAAAGGCGGGTGGGGGGGGTCTTCACTCATCCAGCAGTAGAGAGACAAAGGCGGGGGGGGGGGGGGGTCCTCACTCATCCAGCAGTAGAGAGACAAAGGTGGGTGGGGGGGGTCTTCACTCATCCAGCAGTAGAGAGACAAAGGTGGGTGGGGGGGGGTCTTCACTCATCCAGCAGTAGAGAGACAAAGGTGGGTGGGGGGGGGTCCTCACTCATCCAGCAGTAGAGAGACAAAGGTGGGTGGGGTGGGGGTCTTCACTCATCCAGCAGTAGAGAGACAAAGGTGGTGGGGGGGGGGTCCTCACTCATCCAGCAGTAGAGAGACAAAGGTGGGGGGGGGGGGGGGGTCCTCACTCATCCAGCAGTAGAGAGACAAAGGCGGGTGGGGGGGGGTCTTCACTCATCCAGCAGTAGAGAGACAAAGGTGGGTGGGGGGGGGGTCTTCACCCATCCAGCAGTAGAGAGACAAAGGCGGTGTGGGGGGGGGGTCCTCACTCATCCAGCAGTAGAGAGACAAAGGTGGGTGGGGGGGGGGTCCTCACTCATCCAGCAGTAGAGAGACAAAGGTGGGTGGGGGGGGTCTTCACTCATCCAGCAGTAGAGAGACAAGGTGGGTGGGGGGGGGTCCTCACTCATCAGCAGTAGAGAGACAAAGGCGGGTGGGGTGGGGTCTTCACTCATCCAGCAGTAGAGAGACAAAGGTGGGTGGGGGGGGTCCTCACTCATCCAGCAGTAGAGAGACAAAGGTGGGTGGGGGGGGGGTCCTCACTCATCCAGCAGTAGAGAGACAAAGGGGGGTGGGGGGGGTCTTCACTCATCCAGCAGTAGAGAGACAAAGGGGGGGGGGGGGGGTCTTCACTCATCCAGCAGTAGAGAGACAAAGGTGGGTGGGGGGGGGGGTCCTCACTCATCCAGCAGTAGAGAGACAAAGGTGGGTGGGGGGGGGGTCCTCACTCATCCAGCAGTAGAGAGACAAAGGTGGGTGGGGGGGGTCTCACTCATCCAGCAGTAGAGAGACAAAGGCGGGTGGGGGGGGGTCCTCACTCATCCAGCAGTAGAGAGACAAAGGCGGGTGGGGGGGGGTCCTCACTCATCCAGCAGTAGAGAGACAAAGGTGGGTGGGGGGGGGTCTCACCATCCAGCATACAGACAGGTGGGGGGGGGGTCCTCACTCATCCAGCAGTAGAGAGACAAAGGTGGGTGGGGGGGGGGGTCCTCACTCATCCAGCAGTAGAGAGACAAAGGTGGGTGGGGGGGGTCCTCACTCATCCAGCAGTAGAGAGACAAAGGTGGGTGGGGGGGGGTCTCACTCATCCAGCAGTAGAGAGACAAAGGTGGGTGGGGGGGGGTCCTCACTCATCCAGCAGTAGAGAGACAAAGGCGGGTGGGGGGGGGTCCTCACTCATCCAGCAGTAGAGAGACAAAGGCGGGTGGGGGGGGATCCTCACTCATCCAGCAGTAGAGAGACAAAGGCGGGTGGGGGGGGGTCCTCACTCATCCAGCAGTAGAGAGACAAAGGTGGGTGGGGGGGGGTCCTCACTCATCCAGCAGTAGAGAGACAAAGGCGGGTGGGGGGGGGTCCTCACTCATCCAGCAGTAGAGAGACAAAGGCGGGTGGGGGGGGGTCCTCACTCATGCCAGCAGTAGAGAGACAAAGGCGGGTGGGGGGGGGGGTCCTCACTCATCCAGCAGTAGAGAGACAAAGGCGGGCGGGGGGGAGGTCTTCACTCATCCAGCAGTAGAGACACAAAGGTGGGTGGGTGGGGGTCCTCACTCATCCAGCAGTAGAGAGACAAAGGCGGGTGGGGGGGGGTCCTCACTCATCCAGCAGTAGAGAGACAAAGGCGGGCGGGGGGGGGGTCTTCACTCATCCAGCAGTAGAGAGACAAAGGCGGGTGGGGGGGGGTCCTCACTCATCCAGCAGTAGAGAGACAAAGGCGGGGGGGGGGGGTCCTCACTAATCCAGCAGTAGAGAGACAAAGGCGGGTGGGGGGGGGTCCTCACTCATCCAGCAGTAGAGAGACAAAGGCGGGTGGGGGGGGGTCCTCACTCATCCAGCAGTAGAGAGACAAAGGCGGGTGGGGGGGGGTCCTCACTCATCCAGCAGTAGAGAGACAAAGGCGGGTGGGGGGGGGTCTTCACTCATCCAGCAGTAGAGAGACAAAGGCGGGTGGGGGGGGGGTCCTCACTCATCCAGCAGTAGAGAGACAAAGGTGGGTGGGGGGGTCCTCACTCATCCAGCAGTAGAGAGACAAAGGTGGGTGGGGGGGGGGTCTTCACTCATCCAGCAGTAGAGAGACAAAGGTGGGTGGGGGGGGGGGGCCTCACTCATCCAGCAGTAAAGAGACAAAGGCGGGTGGGGGGGGGGGTCCTCACTCATCCAGCAGTAGAGAGACAAAGGCGGGTGGGGGGGGGGTCCTCACTCATCCAGCAGTAGAGAGACAAAGGCGGGTGGTGGGGGGGTCCTCACTCATTCAGCAGTAGAGAGACAAAGGTGGGTGGGGGGGGGGTCCTCACTCATCCAGCAGTAGAGAGACAAAGGCGGGTGGGGGGGGGTCCTCACTCATCCAGCAGTAGAGAGACAAAGGCGGGTGGGGGGGGGGTCCTCACTCATCCAGCAGTAGAGAGACAAAGGCGGGTGGGGGGGGGCCCTCACCCCTCCAGCAGTAGAGAGACAAAGGCGGGTGGGGGGGGGGTCCTCACTCATCCAGCAGTAGAGAGACAAAGGTGGGTGGGGGGGGTCCTCACTCATCCAGCAGTAGAGAGACAAAGGTGGGTGGGGGGGGGTCCTCACTCATCCAGCAGTAGAGAGACAAAGGCGGGTGGGGGGGGGATCCTCACTCATCCAGCAGTAGAGAGACAAAGGCGGGTGGGGGGGGGTCCTCACTCATCCAGCAGTAGAGAGACAAAGGCGGGTGGGGGGGGGTCCTCACTCATCCAGCAGTAGAGAGACAAAGGTGGGTGGGGGGGGGGGTCCTCACTCATCCAGCAGTAGAGAGACAAAGGCGGGTGGGGGGGGGTCCTCACTCATCCAGCAGTAGAGAGGACAAAGGCGGGTGGGGGGGGGGTCCTCACTCATCCAGCAGTAGAGAGGACAAAGGCGGGTGGGGGGGGGGTCCTCACTCATCCAGCAGTAGAGAGACAAAGGTGGGTGGGGGGGGGGTCCTCACTCATCCAGCAGTAGAGAGACAAAGGCGGGTGGGGGGGGGTCCTCACTCATCCAGCAGTAGAGAGACAAAGGCGGGTGGGGGGGTCACTCATCCAGCAGTAGAGAGACAAAGGCGGGTGGGGGGGGGTCCTCACTCATCCAGCAGTAGAGAGACAAAGGTGGGTGGGGGGGGTCCTCACTCATCCAGCAGTAGAGAGACAAAGGCGGGTGGGGGAGGGTCCTCACTCATCCAGCAGTAGAGAGACAAAGGCGGGTGGGGGGGGTCCTCACTCATCCAGCAGTAGAGAGACAAAGGTGGGTGGGGGGGGGGGTCCTCACTCATCCAGCAGTAGAGAGACAAAGGCGGGTGGGGGAGGGTCCTCACTCATCCAGCAGTAGAGAGGCCACGCCTCTCTGCACGCGTCACGTGCCACGGATCCGGTTCCGCTGCTGCGCCAGACCCCCTGGGATCCGGATCCTGAGGCCTAGTCATCAGCTAGTCCCACTCCGTGCGTCCTCCCCTCCTCGGCTGTCTCTGCGCTCTAACATCGCTCGCTTGTTTAGGTCGTTGTCGTTGTTGTTGTTATTGTTGTTGTTGTTTACATTGTGCGTTCTGATTACAAACAACGTTTTTGTTTTTACTTGTGCCGTGCGCAGTAGCAGCAGCAGTAGCAGCATTTATCGGCGCGTATAGCCGCGTCTCGTGGTGACTGTCAGTGTTGTTTGTGGTGGTTGTTGTTGTTGTTTGTGGTGGTGGTGGTTGTTGTTGTTTGTGGTGGTGGTTGTTGTTGTTTGTGGTGGTTGTTGTTTGTGGTGGTTGTGGTTGTTTGTGGTGGTGGTGGTTGTTTGTGGTTGTTGTTGTTTGTGGTGGTGGTGGTTGTTGTTGTTTGTGGTGGTGGTGGTTGTTGTTGTTTGTGGTTGTTGTTGTTTGTGGTGGTGGTGGTTGTTGTTGTTTGTGGTGGTGGTTGTTGTTGTTGTTTGTGGTGGTGGTGGTTGTTGTTGTTTGTGGTGGTTGTTGTTTGTGGTGGTGGTGGTTGTTGTTGTGTGTGGTTGTTGTTGTTTGTGGTTGTGGTTGTTGTTTGTGGTGGTTGTTGTTGTTTGTGGTGGTGGTTGTTGTTGTGTGTGGTGGTGGTTGTTGTTGTTGTTTGTGGTGGTGGTGGTTGTTGTTGTTTGTGGTGGTTGTTGTTTGTGGTGGTGGTGGTTGTTGTTGTGTGTGGTTGTTGTTGTTTGTGGTTGTTGTTGTTGTTTGTGGTGGTTGTTGTTGTTTGTGGTGGTGGTGGTGGTGGTTGTTTGTGGTGGTGGTTGTGTCCGCCAGCAAAGGGGTCGCTTGGCTATAAACGCATCGCAGGCGGTCGTGGGTTTTGTTGCTTCAGTGGTGCTTAGTTGCCGTGGTGGTTTGTGAGGCTTTCGAGTTGCTGCTGCTGCTGTTGTTGCTGTCTCGTCAACGTTGGAGGTCTAGGACTGTTAAACCAAGTTGTTATACATCCCACAAGGGGGAGGTTTAGCGACTTTGTGAGATCTCCGCGAGGTTTTCATGCTGTAGAGTTAAACCTCGGCGAGGTCTAGGACTGTTAAACCAAGTTGTTATACATCCCACAAGGGGGAGGTTTAGCGACTTTGTGAGGTCTCCGCGAGGATTTGATGCTGTAGAATTAAACCTCGGCGAGGTCTAGGACTGCGTCTTAAGGGAGGTTTAGTGTTGTTAAACCCCGGCGAGGCTTAAGTAGAATCGTGTCCCAACAAAGTGTGGTTTAAGGCAGAGTCGAGTTGAACCCTAAGGTCGTGTCAACCAAAGGGAGACGTCGTGCAAAACCGAGCGTTAAACCTTAAGTAGGTTTTTTGTTTTGTTTTAAAAAAAGCGTCGCCTCGCATCTAAGGAAGCCCTTTCATTCGAGGTCAAGTTTGCCCTTCGACTGAGGCTCATCATGGCCAGCATCATCCCGGCGAGCAAGCTGCGATTCGCCGTGCTGGGCGTGGAGGGCGACTCCTCGTCAGGCTCGGATGGCGATGAAGACGGGGTCCACCACGGCACGAGGAAGGATGGAGGAGGACGTGGTGGTGGTGGTGCAGGACGAGGAGGGGTTGCACGGGGAGATGGAGGGGCAGGTGGAGCTGCTGGCGAGAAGAAGCGGGCGAGGAAGAAGAAGAAAAAGGAAAAGATGATCGAGCAGACCAACGAGGTCCATTGCACGTGGTGTTTGCATGGTGGTGATGGTGGTGTTGTTGAGGCTGCTATTGTAGGCGTGATGTGGGCACGATTAGTGTTCTTAAGCACTGCTGTCCCTAGACCCAACCCTAAAGCCTAAGGCCCAACTCCCTAAAGCCTAACCCTTAAAGCCGAAACTTTTTAACGCTAAAAGCCTGACCCATTTTTAAAATCCTTTATATTAAGTTCACTTGCTTGCTTGCTTGCGCGCGTACGACCGTGCAAATCTTTCGGTCGTTTTTTAACCCACTTCCGGTGATCCAATCGAGCTGACATTTTCCACACAGACTCGTTGTGCGTGACAATTAATTTTCGTGAAAATTTTTTGTCAAAAATGTTACACTATTTAGGGAAAAAAAAGATATTTCGTGATTTTTTTTCCAAAATTTTACACTGTTTAGGGAAAACAAATCAAATATTTAATTACCAATTGCTTAATGCTGCCAGACAATCATCTGACCCATAGGTGGCAGCCATCTCAAGCCAGAGGACGAGAGGACTCTAGCCGCCACGCATATAAAGGATTTATAGTGAAAAACTTTGTTTTTACGGGTTAATTTTTTTCCAAGTGATAAGCAACTTCGTTGAGCTATCATTTGTGGCCAGATCGCTTCTGAAAAGAAGAGCTATCCAGCTCAGTGGGACTTACCTGGTATTGTAATATAAAATGTTTTTAGTCATTTTCAGAAACCTATCACCTAAACCATTATCTCTATACTTGACACCGTAACTCGAAATCCTAACCGTAAGCGTTACACCTAACCCAGAACTCTTACCCTGAAGCCTAAAACCACTCAATCCCAACCTCTAAATTAATATACTCAACCCGAAACTCTTAACTCAACGCCTAACACATTAACCTTAACATCCGAATGCGAACTCCCAAACCCTAAACTCTTAACCCCATTTATTTACAAGGAGTAGTGCCAGAGCCGACACCTTTGGTGAAACCAACTTCCCTTTTTTCTCTTGGTATGTTGTGTTTCAGTTGTGTACTGTACATTGCATTGAGCATATTTCACGTTGCATTTGTTTTCCGATAACACGTAAACGTTTCAAATAGTTTACAATATTACATTGTATTGTCCTTCATAAAAAACATTTACTTTTTGGAGGATGCTGTTGTTACCTAATGGTGAGGACTGGACTCGCAATGCACGTTTCAATTTCCTTGCGTGGCGCTTGAAAAAATTGGCAAAAAAAACTCGCCCACCTCAGTCCACCCAGCAATACGAGTAGGTAAAGTGTGCGTTCTTATGATCCTTTTTAAGATGTCTAGCCACCGTTGAAGAGTAGACGATATTGGCTCACTTAGCTTCAGTGGAAAGAGCCTTCTCCCAGCAGTGGCAGATGAAAGAAATTGCAGGGCTGCACCTTTAACCGTATCGATGGCTTGTTGCATACGAGACTTGAGGTCTTCATCCAACAGTGGGTGGATCACGAGTGATAATGATGCCGTACCACTTTATGGTAAATCATCAGTGTTTTTTATGGAGAGATTGACTCCTTTATGGGCAATATGGAATTCCCACTACTGGTTTAGACCTCCCAATGAATATGAGCAGCACCCAAAATATCCTACAGCATAGAAGCGTTTTTAATTTTATTTCATTGTAAACTTCTTGGTTTTAGAGGTGCAAACATTTCAATGTATGGTGGCGTAATATAATCGGTTAATTTTACATGTAGGCTTTTGCGACCGATATGAAAAAAAAATTGGTTTTGATCTCGTCAATGTCAATGTGTCATACACCTACTTACAACCTAAGGGTGGTCATGTGAACAGAATGTGCCAATTTATTACTACTTTAGCACACCGTGTGTCTTAGCAAACCCACAACATTTACAATCGAGTACGACGTTTCACTGGTGCTTACAACCAGCATCATCAGGCAATTAATAATAATGATATTTTTTAAAGTGCCGTAACGTGACCCAGGGTGCATACGTACAATTAGCGCATAGTTAATGCAATTTACCAAATCACCCAGAGCAGGGGTCGGAAACCGAAATAACAATGAAGCATTTTTTTCGAATTTCGGTAACAACAACAAAATCATTGAAGAGCCGCAATGCATGCGAATACGAGACTGTCCTTAAAACGATGCTTAAAGAGCCGCATGCGGCTCCGGAGATACAGGTTGCCGACCCGTGACCCAGAGTGTGCCCAATCTTGTCAGATCTCGGTCGTGTCTGCATAGTGCTTGGATGGGCAACCGCCGTAATGTTCGTGTGTGTGTGTGACCTGCGCTGTGCGAGCAGCTGAGGAACCTGGCCTTTAAGAAGCTACCCGTGCGTCCAGCGGTCCGTGTGGAGGGCGACGCGTCGTCACCGCATGCCCAGCCCGACTCCCAGAAGCCCAACGGGGAGCAGCGCTCCAACGGGGAGCGCAGTCTGGTGGCTGACGGCGTGCCAGACGAAGGCACCTGCGGACAGCTGGTGCGCTTGAATTGCGAATCTAATAAAAGACAAAGCTCTCCCCCCCCATATAGCCTTAACAGACTGTTGGGGCAAGTGCTGCTAGCAAGCACCCTATGAAGGCCCGTACGGCAGAGGTCGCAATCGGGTACCCGTTTGCGACCCTGGTGCGGCCGAGTACGGGTAGGCCGTGAGTCACTGGTGAGTAACCGTTTGTCACTCATTTCCCAACGCCTTGTCTCTTCTCACAATTCAAATTCCTAGAATCAACCCACCCGCGCCAGCAACATGGCTTCATCCCAGAGGTCGCAATCGGGTACCCGATACCCGGCCGGATACGGGTAGCCGGGTATCGGGTAGGGTACGGGTACCCGTTTGCGACCCTGGTGCGGCCGGGTACGGGTATGGGTAAGGAATCAAAACCCGTTTGCGACCTCTGCCGTACGGCACACGAGGGGGTGGGTGACCAGCACCCCCCGCCTGGCCTCCTTTGTCTCACCAGTGGCGATGTTTATACATTGCATTAGGTACTTGTGAGACTGAGTCGACCTAGGGAAGACTCAGGACCGGTTAAGCTATTTGTCACCGAACTTGGGTCGCCAGGTTCGTAGCGCAGCGCGCTAACCACTACGCCACTGACCAATTATTACACAGATTCACACTCGTATGGTGTTTGCGAAACATATTTGCAGATGATTTGACTGGCGGCATATCTTTCCTGTGACCGGAAATTGGTCAGTAATGTTCATATGCTAATGTATATTGGTTGGTAAGTGACTGAGCCAGTGGACGCCTTCAGGAATAGCTTCATAGTGATTATGTGAAGTTCTTCCACCGCATGATGGAAGCGGGCAGTGGTGTTACCGTGTGATCTGTGGTGTGAGATTGGTGACAAGTTGCACCGTGGCATATTTTTTTAAATAACCGCATCTGCCATGCGATGTTCTGATATTGTTCAGTACAGGTCTCGTAGATTGATTATTGCGGTGCCTTATTTGCAATTCCTATTAAGATCCTTTGCAGTAAGGTCCTTGGCACTGTTTTCCATGAGGTTATTTGTATTTATGTGAAACTTCTTTAGCACCACACCCCAGCTCTTGTTTCCCTTGCAGGCCTGGGACCATTAGTTGAATGTCCCCCCCCCTCCGTCCTTCCCTTATCCCTTTCCTCCCCCAGAGCGGCTCCCTGATGTGATTCCTTTGTGTGAAAGAGGTGATAGCTGTATACCCCCCCACACCCGCGGTTCAATTGCCCCCCCCCGTCTTATATAGATCGGGTCTGAGGTCTCCCGAGTTGATACCCATCCGTTTTTTTTGTCACCTTAAGCATGGTTATGGGGCCTCTGTTTTTGTTTCATAACATCCAAAAATAAATAACTTCCTACCACACTGGTCAGCCCCACAGGGCTGGGGCTTAATTAAATGATTCCTTAATTGAATGTCGTGTTGTGCACTATTCACAGGACACGTTGGAATCTTTTGATGCCGACCTTCAAAGAGCTCTCCGGCTCAGCAAGATGGAGTACGAGTTTCAAAAGACGGTACGTGCTGTGAAAAATATTTGTATGAAAAAAAAATGCGTGTGCGTGTAGCTTTTCACCCCACGTTGTGTTTCTGCGTGTGCTGTCGATAACCACTGCACAGCGTGGAGTGTATTGCTTCGTGGCAGTATGGTCCTGGAAGGTGACATTACTGGATTTGCAAAGTCACTTCAGTGCCCTCTTGTTTTCACACCACGGCCACACCACTTGTGTGCCCTGCATAGAGTTCCTCATATGGCAAATGGAAGTGTTTAGTCCTCAGCTGGAATAAGCGAATCAGTGAATGTTAAAGTTTTAAATGAGTAAAAGCTTTGTGAAATGAAAAGTAAAATGTGCAGTCATTGGTGATCGGGCTGAGACCATCAACTTGCTGCACTGGAGAATCTGGTTTAATCACGGATTTCTGCCTGAATTCAACCCCAGCGTATATCGTGCTGGCCCAGTAGTTTTCTGAACCACCTCTACAACTTACACTCAGACCTCCTTTACCAGTGGCAAAATATAGTATTAGGTTTTTACCCTTTAAACTGGTACAAAACTGACACCTTTATACAAGGCATCATGTTTGCAATAACCATAACACAAGCAGTCAAAATGCAAACATAAAGAAACAACTCTGATGATAATGATATGCACTGTCCTTGAAGTTGATTGGTCCACACCCGCGACAGCTTTTCTTAGAGCCTAGTCTCCATTGGTGTTGGACCAGATGACGGCAAAAGGCATACAACTCAAAGACAGCGCACTATCAGAGTATTGAGAGCTCGGGGTAAGCATTTACACTATGAGACCTCCTTTACCAGTGGCAAAATAATGTACCAGTTTAAAGGGTAAAAACTTAATACTATATTTTGCCACTGGTAAAGGAGGTCTCATAGTGTAAATGCTTACCCAGAGCTCTCAATACTCTGATAGTGCGCTGTCTTTGTGCAAATTAGACCTGTAGATGATTATCGGCCACGTTCAAGCCACGGCTGAGCCTTACAAAGGGTGAGAAATGTAAGATGGGGATACACGTAGGCTGGCTACATCTGCATCCCTTCCCGCGCCTGCAATTCTGTATATGGTTAGGTATCAGAAGTCTTATTATTTCCGGCTCAAATGAGCATTGGTGCGGTGCTTCCTGTGTACACCCCTAAGGCAGCAGTTTAAATTCTACATTCATATACTAAACTTTTTAATTTTACCAGGTGAGGCCCACTGAGCTGCACAGCTCTTTTTCAAAAGCGACCTGGACAAAAATGATAGCTCAACGAAGTGGCTTATCATGTTGGAAGTATACAGCAGCCAAATACACTTAAGCGCATGTTTTGTAAATGTAGAGGGGAAAAAAGTGGAGCAGCCAGAAAAAATCCACGCGACCACGGCGAGAAAGACATGCATTCTACAAATATACAGCAGCAGGCGTCATGGTCGGAATCGAACCCACGACCTCCTGCGTACCAGGCGAGGTAATTAGAGACCTCGCAACCGTGGCGCCATGGCTATCCTGCAAAGTGTGATTTTTTTGTTTTCTTGACCTCACATGGATGATGATGATGGGCTAAGTCAACTCCCAACCAGGATTCAACTCACAACCTACCGATTGCGAGCCCCTCGCTTTGCCACTGAGGGTTCAGGCTAGCGGGGTTGGGGGGGGGGGGTGTTTCGCATTGCATAGCAAAGAAGATAAATTTGCAGCTGCATCGGACTAACCTGTCGCCGCCTGCCTCAAAAACCCAGCAGGGAGCAGCCTTTTAGAGTGGAAGATGCCTATTAAATACGACCAACATACCCGCTGATTAGCTTGAACAATACAGCAGCACACTCCAGCTTGGGAAATAAGCTTTGCTTTGCGAGGATGTAATGATTCATTTCGTGCTTATAATGGTCAGTAATTTGTGATGTAAATGTGCAGCCCTGGAATAGTTCACTGCCAGCACTGGTGGAAAGGGCTTCCACTGGAGAGCCCCTCTAGAGGGTATTTGAAGTGTTGGGGGTACCCACACTTTACCCCACCACACGTGAGCTGCCAATCGACTAACTGTGGTGTACTCCTTCATACTGCTGGGTGCACGTGCGAGGGGTTTTAAGAAACTCGCGCCCCCATTGTTTCAACTGCCGCGCCGGGAGATGGAATCGAACCGGTGACCTCTGGGTTGCAAGTCCGGTGTTCTAACGATTACATCACTGTGGCAGCTCCCACTGCTTGATGTATGCTGGACATAACTTATTCGTGGAAACCTTGCAGCCACTACGGATTATACGTGCACCGCGGTGGCGAAAAGACAATTGATTTATGACTCAACGAAGGCCCATGTTCTTCGTCACGGCTTGGCTCAGGCTTGGCTCTGCCTAAAGTGAGCTGGCACAAAGCAATGCTTAACTTGAGCCAGGTCTAAGCATGGTCCCAGCCATGCTCAGGATATTCCTGAGTGGAGCCTGAACCAGGCCATGGCTGAGCTGCTCAGGCTTGAGCCGAGTTATGACTAAATATTGTACGCCCTGATGTTTTTGTGTCTTGGGCATCTTCCGCTGAATGATTAGAATCCTAAATGTGTCTCGGTTGAACTAGTGGATCTGATTGTGACCCACGCTAGCATTTTTGAAATAACCCTGCACCTATTGTTTGAGAGCGTAACACATAGTAACATTTGGTCAGCTTCTTTCCTGGTTTTACATAAAGATCCTTATTGTTGCAAATGCGAATGGAAATTAAAAGCTATGGGCACTTGCAGTTTTTATTTCTGAAAGGCACAACATGGACATCTTCAGCTGCTGCTTCCAGTCAATAAAGTGTGTCCCTGCTCAAACGAGTGGTGGGCAGTGCTCATTTCCATTGGCGGCCCCCGAGCTGCGAGCGGAAATTCCACATTCCCCAACTGGGGCACCGTGCGATGTCCACCGTGGACGCAAAAGGGGTGGACCCCTGCACCTGGTGGCATGATTTGCCGAGTAGCCCAGCAACTGAAATTCGAACTCTTGCGATCGTGTGTTAAGTGCTCTGCCCACAGAATGTCTTTAAACGCTGTCTTTAAACACCACATTTATCTTGATAAGTCAGACCTTTTCGTAAAGGATACAGTATGAAGTTGCTACTCAAGTGAATCTAATGTCTATAATCTGCACGTGTTAGCACATCCGTGTGTTCCTCTTTGTCTCACAATGTAATCCTGGGATGTGGTGATAAGAGGGGCAATTATGATGCGGTTTCGTGGTGCTCTCCGTATTATTGGGCACGATTTATTTACTATTTTTATTTTACCAGGTAAGACCCCCTGAGCTTCATAGCTCTTTTTCAGACGCAACCTGGCCACAAATGATAGCTCAACGAAGTGGCTTATTATTGCGTGGAAATTTATAGCAACCAGATACTCTAAATGCATTTTAATTCTAAATGTGGAGGGAAAAACCGGAGGACCCAGGGAAACATCCATGCGACCATAAGGAGAACATGCAATCTCCAGATAATATACAGGCGTCGGGGGTCGGGATCGAATCCACGACCTCCTGCATACCAGGCGAGGGAGTTAACATCTCACCACCGCGGTACCCCATGACCTCTTGATCGTGATCTTCCCCCGTGCGTGATTGATCGCGCGCAGCAAGGGGTCGTCGATCCAGACGGAGTCCCTCGGGTCCCCAATCGGAAGGAGCGTCGCAAGCTCCTCCAGGAGGCGCGTGACCGCGACCCCAGGATGGTGGAGGTGCTGCTGCCTCCCGAACCCACGCCGGCGCACGCTGCCCAGACGGACGGCGCCGCAGGTAACGGGCACACCGATGGCTCTGCCCGTGTCCCATCATGCACAGTCGTAGGAGTCGGGGGCACGTGGTGGTGGTGGTGATGATGATGTTGTAATGGGCCGGTTTGTAACCCTGGCGAGGTCCTCCGCGGTGCGTGGCTCGGAGCAGGAGATGCTCCATGGGCTGTGGCTCTCCTCAGTCACGTGCATCGGGGTCGTTAAGAGTAAACCCTCTCCCACATATTGGTTATATACCTACTGATCCCCGTTCAAAGTAAGTGGGTGGGTGGGTAAGTGGGTGGGTGGGTGAGTGAATGAGTGGGTGGGTGAATGAGTGTGTGGGTGGGTAAGTGAGTGAGCGGGTGGATGGGTGGGCGGGCGAGTAAGTGAATGGGTGACTTGCTGAGTGGGTGGGCAGGTACATACAGAGACGGAATAAATACATAAAATAAAACTACAGAGTCTTGATATCGTGCCGCTGTGTCCTCCCCTCCTTTCCCCCAATTCTTACGTGGTTTTGCCCTCCCAGACGCACCGAGTGGCGGCGGCAGCAGCAGCACCAACAGCAGCAGGGCTGCTGACAAGAGTCGGGGCGGCTCTCGGGGTGGCTCCGGTTCTGCGGCAGCGGCGGCGGCGCCGTCGTGCAGGGGCGCCGCCGAGGAGCCCCCGGCGGAGCGCGCAGCGCGGCTTCCGAGCCCCGTCCTGGAGACGGTGAGGATCGAGCAGCTCAAGGACGGCCTGGAGAAGAAGGACAAGGAGATCGCCGACCTGAAGGTGGTCACCGCTGAGTGGGAGGTGAATTCTCGCACCACTGACGCCACTATCAGCGCCCGCTGTCGATGAATGTGTCACGAGTGGTGGCCCTGTGGCTTTTTGGGAGCATTGGTGTTAATGAGGATAAACAATGTTTGTTTGTTGTGTACGGTAATTCCGCTTTCAGCGAAGTAGTTCCTGAAAAGTGCCGTGTAGAATTAGTGTGTGTATATATATGCGTCATAACGGCGCGCGCTCCGCGTTGCGCGAAAGTGCTTCCCCAATATAAGAACCGCGCTACAGCGAAAACGCACCGGGTGAAACACGCGTTAAGCGTGGACTTACCGTATTTAATCTGTTTTTTAAATCCTTTATATTAAGTTCACTTGCTTGCTTGCTTGCGCGCTTACGACCGTGCAAATCTTTCGGTCGTTTTTTAACCCACTTCCCGTGATCCAATCGAGCTGACATTTTGCACACAGGCTCGTTGTGCGTGACAATTTATTTTCGTGAAAAATTTGTTCCAAAATTTTACACTTTTTAGGAAATATTAATTATATTTAATTATCAAATGCTTAATGGTGGCAGGCAATCATCTGACCTATAGGTGGCAACAATCTCAAGCCAGAGGACGAGAGGACTCTAGCCGCCACGCATATAAAGGATTTATAGTGAAAAACTTTGTTTTTACGGCTTAATTTTTTTTTCTTACCCTCTGCTCCTTTGCAGGTGAAGTTCAAGGAGGTGAAGAAGCGGAACGCACAGCTGCTGTACATGCTGCAGCAAGGAGAAAGTAAGGCTGCGTTCATCACCACGCTGCCGTCTTGTAGCACACTAACACTGGGATGCAGATTGGCAGCATGGTGGTGCGAGTGAACAGCGAGCCGAGGTTTCGTTTCTGCGTCTTCACCGCTGAGACGACGCAGGGTGGATGGTCTACGATCCTTGTCGCCGTTTCCACTGAGAATTGTCAAAGGGGATCTCCGTAATAGAGGTTTTTGGGTTAGCTCGCGTAAATATAAATGTGTCGTTAAACCCGCCATCACCCGACACAGCCAAGTAGTGAGGTTTTACGCGACAAACCTTAATAATTAGCTATGTCGGGTGGTGGAGGGTTTAACGACACATATTTCCTCGATCTAACCCAAAAACCTCCGTTATGGATAATATTGATCGCAAAAGCCGAAGTGTACAACTGGAGATCTCCGCGCTGCCCTTTTTTGCAGCCGTGCTCCGCTTGCCAGATCTTGTTGGGTTCTCGCTCGCGAAGCGTTCCTCCCGGCATTGACAGGCCCGCCGGGGAGAACCCGCCTTGCACGTGCCGCGCTTTGCGGCGAGCGTAGATCGAGAGTCGCAGCGCGCACCCCTCGCCCCCCTCCTTGTCGTTGCTGTGTCGTCGCAGTGAAGGAGAAGTCTGACGTGCTCTTGCAAGTCGAGGAGCTGACCAACATAAAGAACGAGCTCACACAGCAGGTCAGACCGCGTGTGGGTTATTGTCGCACTTCCAAACCATTAAGCGTTTATTTTCCATACTTAATTTGGAGCTTTCGTGACTGCAGAAATTACTCTCTGGTCACGTATAAAGAGAAAATGATAAATTAAATACTAGCATACGACGTTTTGATTGCAACACAAGCAATCATCGTCAGGTATAAATGAAATAGAAACACAAATCTACCCAGGTAGGGTGTTGACTGTTATGTTATCCGACTCTCTGTTGTATTACATTACATTTCTAAGTATACTAGATTTGTGTTTCTATTTCATTTATACCTGATGCTGATTGCTTGTGTTGCAATCGAAATGTGCTCCGGGCTGAAAGCCACACAGTGCCACCGTGTTGCAATTGGTAGACGGAGCAGAAACCAACGGCTTGTTTTGCGACGCAGGTCTCCGACCTCCACACTGCTCTGGAACAAGAGAGGTCGAAGGTGAAAACACTACAAGCGGAGCTCGTGAAACACCAGGTAAAACACGGGAGGGGAGCAAGTTGACCGTTTATAAATAGCGCTCGGCAAGAGAACAACTCTATCGATTCTGTCGCGTCGCGTCAAACTTGCGTCTCTTGCTACACAATTTCCAGTGGAAAAATGTTGGCCCTCAAAATACTGGTGAACCGAAAACAATGTGTTTGTATGTGTGTACGTGGCCTTTATTATATATGTGTGGAGAGCGGTAATGGCTTTGCTCCGAACCCAGTGACCCGAGTTTTGATTCCCATTCACGGCCAATAACAATGACTAATCATCTGAACCGGTCCTGGGCCTCCGTTGGGTCGACTGCCTCAAATGAGTACCTGGTGTGATGTGTAAATATCGCCGCTAAGAACAATACGGTGCTCGAGCGTGGTGCTGGCCAACCCACACCCCCTCTTGTGTCATGTTCGCATTCATGGGTGCTACTCGCTAACAGCACTTGCACCAAAAGTTTGTGAAGTCTATATGGGGGGGATCTATGTCTCGGTTATTGCTTAACGTAATTGACAAACACGAGAGAGTCGATCAATGGGGAGGGACCATGCCTGCGTGCATTGACCTGCGGTCGACGCTTTCGATCCTCGAACTTTTGTTTTTATCTTGCAGCAGGGAGGGAAGAAAATAAGAAAAGCTTCAGAGAGTGAACACTGATCTCGGGCAACACGGATGAAACAGCACTCGCAGCTTCCTAGGCTGGACGGAGTGCAACGGTGGTTATTTTTACACGTTGCGTTACCCCTCAATCCAGGGACCGAACTTCCGAAGTTGAATTTCTTTCGCGTTTCCACGGCACAACGGGTGCATTGTGCCAGCTTTGTTTTATTTTGTTATCGTTACACGCGGCCTCTTGAGTGTGTAACGTGGGACTGTGTAAGCTCACGTGCGATTCACGCAGAAAGATGTAGCACGAGTGCCCTGTGAGTGGCAAAGGGGAGGTGTGCCGGTGCATTTGGCGGCGAGGGTTTACTCCGGGTGGCCCGGGATGTGACGAGTCATCGGTGCGTACGGAACAACCGTAGCGTGTTGCAATAAAATGCTGCGGCAGTTCATTTCCAAAGGCACAAAACACTACGCCTGTCTCAAGTTTGTTTTTATTAAAGCTAAGTTGTACCTCATCAACCCGGTTAAATGCGACTTTTGGTGCAAGTGCTGTTAGCGAGTAGCACCCATGAATGCGAACATGACACAAGAGGGGGTGTGGGTTGGCCAGCACCACGCTCGAGCACCGTATTGTTCCTAGCGGCGATATTTACACATCACACCAGGTACTCATTTGAGGCAGTCGACCCAACGGAGGCCCAGGACCGGTTCAGATGATTAGTCATTGTTATTGGCCGTGAATGGGAATCAAAACTCGGGTCACTGGGTTCGGAGCAAAGCCATTACCGCTCTCCACACATATATATTAGATCCCGTGGCGTTTTTTTCAAAATAGGGGGGGGTAGGCCTTGCGTGCCATTGTCATGGCCCAAATTTGGCAAGCTTCAAGCAAATCTTCTTGCATTTTACTGAATTGTAACAACCAAATAACAACATCGCCCCCGACTGACAGACTATGCCCGTTTGCAGGCCGGTACTCAATCTTTGCTGTCTATCTCTGTTCCTTCTCCTTGTGCTCAATCCTCGCTTTCGCTCTTTCGATCTCCTTGTCCCCCTTAACTGGAACAAACTTCCCCGCAACACATTAACCAGGCACCGACACTCGCTAAGTTTACGCTCTTCACTAAAACCGTATTTTTTGTTCCCTAGCTCACCCCACGACCCCCCTTAATCTCCCCCTCATAACCACCACCGTTACTGTTCCCATCTTCATATTCTCATTATACGGCTATCACTCATTCCCCATTCATTAAATCCATTCGTCATCATTTACTGTCGTCGATTTCGCTTTCACCTAATTCACGCGTCACAGATTTGCCCCCCCCCCCCCCCCATTGCTTCCTCCCATCTGTTCCATTCACCTCGTCTCCACCATCACATTCATATGTACCATTGTTAATTCTGCATAAAGCGCCTTCGATAAGGCGGTTTATTAATTATTTGAAGGTAGGAGAAGATACTGCTTCACCTTGTGCCGCACGGGGACAGCTGCCATCAGGGGGTCCCCTAGGCGCACTAATCGAGAGAGGGACTACATTTGGACATTGGAATGATCGAGTTGTGATGCAAGGCGCCTCGCGACATTTTAGCGGAGGATACATGTACATTCCTGAATCCTTAAGTTGTGAGCACGGTTTTTTCGCGGCTTTTTACCATTGCTAATATACTCATGGCTCGAGGCCACCAGTGGAGAGGCTGAGCACTGCCTATAATCCCTCGTGAGTGTAGAGATATTTTCACTCGTTAACATTTACTCCGGCTTGCCACCTGCTTTATAGTTGACATTGACAAATTCCGGATCCACAAAAAGGTCGCCTTTGTAAACTCCGGCGCACACAGGCTGCTGCATTGAGGGCACGTTATTACTTTTGTTAATTTGTTAAAGCGGTGCATCAATCGCCGCAACGCTTTCGGTACACGCGACAAACTTATTCCGAAGAGTCTTCCAGAAGAATGTGCGTCGCGGAGAGAAGAAGCGGGTGAAAGAGATGCGACGACTGTGAGGCCTTGAACAGGTGCTTGAAGTTTCGCGACGACAACGATAGCATGCAGGGAAACGGGGCGACCATCAACTTTAGTGAAGGTTGACTACTCGGAAGTGGAAAGGCAGTCGTGTCGTGGGTCTAATGAAGAGAATTCGTGCTCGGAGTTTAGGGAAGGTGAGGCCAGAGACGTAATGCCGGAGCAGACCACAGAGGAGATTACAACAGGGCAACATCATATCCAATCCTGTGCGATTGCTAATGTTTGTCAATGAGGAACACTGCAAACTAGGCTTCGGCAAGGTAAGGTAATTTACCCTTTTTACCGGATAAAAGGGTCCAGGGTAAAGGTGTCGACATGCCAAGGGGTAAGGTAAAGGGTAGGGTAAAGGTAGGCTCGTTGCTTTTTACCTTACCTGCTAAAGGGTAAAAATAGGGTAGAGTGATTGTATTGTGGTAATGTAAAAGCTCGGGTAAAGGTAGGCTCGTTTTTACACTTTTACCTTGCCGAGGCCTACTGCAAACCGTGAGTTAAGGTGCTCTACTACAAGTCAAAGTCCCTTCGGTGTTGACACGCGTAATGATTTATTTCAGAACAATAAAGTTTGCCTGTAGCAAGGATCGGTAAGTGGCGTGTGTTGTTGAGCAAGGCGCAACCCAAACAATGTATCGGTTGCTGCTTTGACTTCATTGACGATATCGATCCAAGTAGAAATTTGCATCTGCAATTAACAAAAAACTTGCTGAATAATCCGTGACATCTCAGCTCCAGGCTCTATGGTGCAGTGCCACTGTTGTCGATCTGACCCCCGCCCCTCCTCCCATGTGCTGAGCTCCATAGGCAAGCATGGATCACCTCCCAGCATTTGCTGTGGATGGTGACTTCAGCCAGAGATTCACGACGGGGATTCCAGCTCACACACCCACGTGTTGAGACTCCAGTGTGGCTGTTCCGTCATTAGAGGGCGCTATGGCGGTGTTCGCCTGAGAGAGTCGCTTGCAGTCAGGTTTTGCCAATAACGTTGGTCATCAAAAAAATAAAAACATTTCTGGCCTGGACTTTTGCAGCTGTTTTAGGCTAATTTCAGGGTGCTGATTCCAAATCTGATCTCAGATTTGCTCTAGCACATCTCATTTTATGCTATCGGCATACCCCATTTTAATTGATTTTACCCGAAATTAACTCACTTATGATTGCAAGTTGTCGTGAGTCAGTGACTGCGTTAGTGTTAAAATCTGGTGCTGTATTTTTAGGATAGTGTGTTTATAATATTTTATGTAGATATCCACATTTATTTAATATTATTCTTCTGCAGTTTTTATTGAAAATGCAATATTTGATATCTCAAAAACCTGATGTGATAGACAAAAACTGATGCCAGATTTGGAATCAGCACCCCAAAATTACCTTACAACCTTTGGAATACCTTATGCCAGAAAAAGTGTGTTGACCAGTGTAATGAAGCTGATGATGAATCGTCTCAGACATCCCGTGACGTCACATCTGTGAAATAACCGCGGTTTTTTTGGGTTGTGTCTACCTAGACATGGATGCCCGTGACCTTGTCCTTCGAGTATGTATGTGGAACTTCTTTTGCACCGTACTTAGCCTGCCGTGCTAATCGGTGGTTGAAGAGTGATCACCACTCGCCACTTAGCATGCAGAGTCGCCAGTTTGATTCTCATTCTGGTTGCCCACTTATGTCCTGCAGGGAATTGCCAAAGTGCAGTGTCTGCTGCATAGTGTCCTTTAAGTACCCTGCAGTGTCACCAGCAAGTGTAGGGGCCATTGCGCGCTGTTGTTGTGGCCTAAAAAAATCCGCTTCACTCACAGTTTTTATGGAACAGGATGCTGTTGGGCATGGCAAGTGGTAGGTGTTGAAACCGCTTGCTGCTGTTCGTGTGTGATGGGAATGTTGGCGGTTCGCGCACTTCATATTCTGAAGGTTGCGAGTATCAATTCCTGGCCGCCCGGTCACTTAAGCTGATCATCTCTCAAGAGGATTATCTAAATGAAAAGTTAATTCCTGGAAAGTCAACAATGGGAATTTTATTGAGAGATTGCCTCTTGCCTTCAGCATGTAGAATTTTCACCCCAAACTTGGGTGCTGCTTGCATAGGTGAAAACCGCCCCGATGCTCGTTGGAGCAGGGAGATATTATGACTTGCTTAGAACATTATGGCTCTGCTTTGCTATTGCTCTGCAATAACGGACAAGCAGGCATTCTGCCGCGAGCCTTTCGCAGGAAGAGATGGCAAAGCGAGCACAGCGTGCATGATCTTTCGGGCCGATGTCGGTGTTTTGTCCCCAGAAAAGAACAATTGGTGCAATGAAGGGGACAATATCGAGCCGAATATTGCATGAAAATATCGAAACGTTGGTACCACGTACACGGGGGTCGGCAACCAAAATAACAAGAAGAGCCTTTTTTTTCGAATTCAGTAAAAACATAAAATTATCCGCTAAGCACCTGATAAACTTCGCAAAGCGACATTCCTTCAAGGGCCGTGTGCAGTTCCGGAGTAGGCGGATGCCGACCCCCTGCATATTCAGCAAGGTTTAGGACCTAACGTTGTGACCGCGGCAGCTTCATAATTATTTCGAAGTTGTGAGCCGAAATTGGAAAAATCTGCAATGTAATTCGCACATATATGCCTGCATTACACGATTACCATTCAACTTTCTTTTGAGAAGTGAGCTTCTAGAATCAGTCATAGACGTTTCACGTTCACACCTGGCAGTGAAATTGTAATTTGGTTTATAAAATGAAAATGTTTGCTACACTCTTGAACACGCGGTGCTAGTACTGGTTACATTCTTCAATATATTTTGTACACTGCTTCCCGCAGTGTGTAAAGATTCATATTCGATTGGTAGAGACCATTTGTTCTGATTTACAGAGACACCTTAAGATGTAACGTCTCCTTTTGTAATAAATTCTTTCTTCACTTTTGTTCACGTTTGTCTTGCGAGTGGTTTGAGCCCGGTGCTTTGTGACTTTGGTAAAGTGGGGCCTAAATCGTGGGCTCCCACCAAATGATTGAATTCCACTCTCAGGTTTCCTGAGATGGATAACATTGACCAGCTCACCACAGAAAACCCATTATACAAATTAAACATGTTCTTTCTTTTAATCTGGTCGAGCTCAGGTATGAATACTTAAAATGTGCATTTTATATGGCATATAAAGCAGATGATAGACAGCGTAACATACATTATTAGGGGATTGTGTTACGTGTTATATCAAGAAAGCGCCCACCATATTTGTTATGAACACGTCCTAGGAAGAGAAAACGGTGTAGTGTGTTAAAGGTTTGGATTTCAGAATACAAATGGTAGATAGTGACTAATTTTTTTGTATTAATGTGATCAGTTTTCAATTACCAATTATTAAGTTGCACCCCAGGAATGAAGACGCACCCTAAACTTTGAAGTCAATTTGCAGAAAAAAAGTATTATAATCGTGAGAATTCGACCTCGTTGAGCAGATGATTGTGAACGTGTTGCTTTCAAATGGACAGGTGCCTTGTGGAGGATGATTATGGACGGCTGGGTGGTCACGCATCGCTGTGGAGAAGAACCGTCTTCCGGCAGGCATTTCAACTGCATTCAACCAGTCCTTCTGGGAGACAATTCTAACGGATTAGACCAGGGGTCGGAAACCAACAGGACAAGAAGAGGCATTTTTTTTCGAATTCAGTACGAAACTCGATGTTTCGGAGACGCAACTTGCTGACTCCTGGATAAGACGAATCCTCAGCTTTTGTTTTAAAATACGGAGGGGGGGAAAAGTGTGTAAAACACAATGTCATGCAGGTAACAAGAGTTGCCTAATTTGTGCCAATGGCATAGCACAGTTGTGCTGAGTGTCAGGCTAACTTGCTAAATGCCTCATAAATGTATGATAACTGCAATTTCGTTTGTGAAATCAGCGTGCGCCAATTAACATATCTTGCAATTCAGTGACGGTTTCTCATAGTTACCAATGAACAAATATAATTTATACATTATTCGTAGTTATTTCAAATGACTGGGATCTGTTCAATCACACCGGCTAAATCGATAACACCAATGTAAGAAGAACCGGGAACATTTATACCAACCGTGCACATTTTTATTTCTTACAAATCCATGAGAACACTTTCCGGCATGTTTTAGTTCTATTTGGGTGCTAATTCCAAACAAAAGGATTTTCACAAAGTCATTATAATTTGGTTCAAGAAAGTCATTCTTGTCTCATTGAAACCGTCTTCATATTGACTTAAAGCTTTCGTGACTGCAGGAATTCATATTCTTGGGTCTTTCGGTAAAGTCACGTAGATAGGTGACTTTACCGAGGGGGGTGGGGAGGGCTGAAGATGACCACTTGTGTTGCGATCGAAACGTCGTAGTTTTTTGTTATTTTCTTTGAATCTGTCTACGTGACTTTACCGAAAGACTCAAGAATACGTCTTCATATTGTTTTTCAAATTATATAGTTCTGTTTGCTCAATTAGCTTAAATGTAACGTCAGCATGTCATTTTCATAAATCACAAAACATTTATAGGCATATTGTTATAATTATGGTCGTTTACTCGTTTTCTTGAAGGAGCCTGTCAAGTTTTCGCAGTAGGGGGTGATGTTGATGAGCGTAATCCCAATAAAGTAATTTGCAGGTACATTTTGAGCATTGAGATGTTAAACTGAGTTTTTTTTAAGCTCTGGGCAGGCACTGGGAAACCCGCAGGAAACCCATGCAGGTCAGGGGGAGTAAATATAAACTCCACGACAAAAGGCATTTCATTCGGGAATGGAACCCAGGTTCTTGTTACTGTGAGGCACTGTGCCAACTTGCCGCCCGAGTGATTGGGTGCGTGCATCGTGGGTGCAAGAGTTGATGATTGGATGCATTGTTAAACCTCTTGCACACACGGGGCATGTAACAATGCACCGATTCGGCGATTAAAAAAATTCCCACGCACACGACACACGCATCGTATCCTGTGTGTGCGAATCAATTATTTAGTTTTTTATCCGCGTACGTTTTACCAATTTACATCATGGGACTCGCGCAGTCACTGGAGGGTGCGAAATTCACCGCAATGTCAAAAATAGAGAATCTGTTCTTGAATGAGACGCGGAAGTTATTTTATTTCGACGACGTCCACCGACGAGACGGAGCGATGAAATTGGCTCGTGAGCAGGCGTGCGGCTGGCTTGTTCCATCGCGGGGTCGTGAGCGAGCTCCTGGCGGCTTGGGGCTTGGCCTTCATTCCGGTTGGCGAATCGACCGCGACCGACTTCGCTGACCTAGGTTCTCACCGCGCCTCCTCCTCATCCTCCTCTTTCTCGTCCAGTCAAGTGCCGCCGGCCGGCACGCACACCAGTGCCGTGACGCAGAGGCCCGGCGTGCCGACCGCGGGCGCCCACGCGTCGCCCCGCGGGCAGTAGCACTCCATGTCGGCGCTGCGGCTGGTGCCGTTGTATCCTCCCGCCACGTACACGCGTCCCGCGGCGGCCACGGCCGCGGGGCTGGTGCGAGCGCTCGCCATTGGGGCGGCGCGCCACCAGCGGTGGGCCGTGCAGTCGAAGCGCCGCACCTCGCGGCTGCCCTCACCGCCCACCACGTAGACGTCCGGACCCAGGGCAGCCGCGGCAGGAGAAGCGGCAGCGCAGCGGGCACGGCCCGATCACCGACCACGAGCGCGACGACGGGCAGTAGCGCTGCACGGCCTGCCGGAGACGCACGCGCGCGCGGTGATGTGCGTGGCGATGCGCGCGGTGATACACGTGGTGGTACGCCTGCGATATGTGTGGCCAAGTGCATGCTACACACGGTGACATGTGGGTGACATGTGTGTGATATGTGTGGCGATGTGCGTGGTGCGAGTGGTGACACGCGTGTGATATGCGTGGCGATGTGCGTGTTATGCGCGGTGATACGCCTGTGATAAGCATGGCGATGTGCGTTTTATGCGTGGTGACATGTGTGATACGCATGATGGGATGCGTGGCGATATGCGCGGTGATACGGAATAAAATTGGAGAAAAATAAATGCTTATGTGTGAGAGAATTACATATTTTATGCAAATGATATGCTCATTACATTTAGGCTAAACAGAAGAACAAAACTGTACAACTGTGATGGAAAAAAGTAAACAAAATAATTGTGGTAATTCATAAATAAATAAGAATTCCTAAGGTTCACGATACATGCGTCACATCTATTTAGGCCATTAAAATTCTATTGTTTCTGTGAGGCTGAATGAGCAATTAAAACAATACAAACGAGATGGTAAAAACGAGACAAAGGGAGTGGAATATTGACCCTAATAGATCAATTCTGAACCGTGACATTTCATCGAATCGAGGGGTAAAGCGGTGGGGGGATTGAAAAGTGTCGTGAATCATTACGTCCCTTGTTCACGGACAACGCAGAGTTTGACGCGCGGTACACAAGAGGCTAACGGTGAGCGTGAAGCACATGGCGCCGGGAACATCTACTGCTCGAGAACCCAATTTTCATCACAAGTGTCGCAACCGCATTCCCGGATTCGTGTGCAGAATCTGAACGGCACCGGCTTGGCGCGCCGGCATTGGTGCCCGTGTCGGCGTTTTACCGGCGGTACGAACTCCGTCTCGCCAAACACGTAGAGTTTGCCTTTGCTGCCGGCCATGGCGAGGTAGCTGAGTCCGTGGGGCATGGGGGCCACGGGCTTCCACTCGGACGCACCGGGGTGTAGGCACTCCACCTGCACAGGCAGAGATGGAATGAGGAATCACATAAGAGGGTGTTGGTGTTTTTTCAGCCGCAGCGAGCGATTGCTTGGATTTTTTTTTATGTCAGGTTAACCATTTCACATTCCAGTTTTAAAAACAAATAAAATCACTTCATCGTTACCGAGGCTCCCACAAGCCCATGCGTGTGGCAGAGTTTGGCGCCAGCTATCATTGAGTGCAGGCGTGTTGCTACAGTTCTATGTGGTGAGTACAATTTAAAATGTCACGTGTCCAAGAAAACCTTACCGACTGTCAAGGCTCTTGTTCATCGTTTTCTCGGATGAACAAGAGCGGTGGCGCAGTGGTTGACGAACACATGTCAGGGCTTAAAACATTTAATAAACACTCCCAGGCTGAAACTGTAAAGCAGAGCTTGGGCTGGAATGTTCTGCTTATAAAGCATTCAAAAGTAAGTCATTTCATGCGTTTAAGGCTGCACCCACGCTTCTTTTCCCATATGGAGTGACGCACAGAATCACAATTGTTGGGGGCGGGGGGGGGTGACGCACCGAGCCGTTACCTCTTTGAGGGGCTCCGACATGGACATGGGGAACACTGCGGTGACCACCGTGTAGCCTCCGGCCACGTACACGCAGCCGTCCAGCTCCGTGGACGCGTGCGCGTACCTCGCAGGGACACAAGGAGTCGGGGACACTCAGTGACGCTTCCAAACAACACAACTGTGGTCGTCTGTGCCCATGGCACTGAAGGTAGTGTTTTATCTATTTTTCTAATCATACTCCGTGTGCAACATGCAACTATGTGTATAACGATTCACTTCATGTCCCACCCCCCACTCCTTCCCCTGGCAATTCGATCCATTGTTGCGATTCAAGCTCACTATTTGATTCAAGAATCAATTATTTGTTTACATTGTGCAGAATGTAGCAGCCACAGCGGCTGCACGGTTCATAGAACCCCGTTGCAAACATCGCGACAACAAAATAAACCGAACCGATTCTGAGACGTGCCACTTGGCGCACGTCCCGCGAGCTTCGAGAGAGTGAACCTTTTGTATGATTAGAGACTCGACGCGACTCCACGAGTGATCCGCCCGACGTCGCTCCGCCGTAAATCCCGCCGCCAAGCGCCGCCAAGCGCCGCCAACCTGGTGAGACCGAGGGTTGGCCCCGGGCTCCACTCGTCCTCCTGCCGCATTGTAGACCCACGTGGCTCGTTCGGCCTGACACAC